TCATCGATGCACATAACAATTTCCGTCAATAAGACTTGGCCGTTCGATGCTGTTTTACAACGAAGAACAGGAATCTTCTTGAAATGACTTATGATGGCGCTTTCCACTCTTTGCTTCGACTTGGAGGCCCCGTTTGGAACTACTCCTTGAACTCTTAGGGCACTCAGAAGGTTAATATTGTGCCTCAAATTTATGGATGTTTGGAAGTAGGCTTTCTGGTCAAACTTGCTTTCGGAGCAAATCCCATGTGTGTTCCACTCATGACCCCAAAACCATTTGTGATTTCCAGTGATCAGATTTGGCCAAACTATGTTGAGGTCGTTTTCCAAATGCGAAATCTGAAACTCAAACATAATGAATAGTTTGCACATCTAATAAACTGAATAATGCATGTTTGAGTTTTACCTGATTAAAATCAAAGGAGGTGCCCGGGCAATTAGTTACAGAGTTTCCTCCCTTCTGAGGCCACAAGCCATGGATGGTGAAGGAATTTGTCCCTCGCCCTACACATCGTCCTGATTGTAAAGCGCAAACATTGGGCGGCCATTGTTGAACAAACCAGAAGTCATCAAAAGGTTGAGATTTAGCCATAGGAAGCAAACTGACAAAGACAAACAAGAGGAAGATTTGTGTGTTTGGAGTTGCCATGGTAGGTGTATCGTGTTAACTTGGTGATTATGATGTTATGTAACTCTATTTATAGTGAAATATTTGATTTGTTTTATTCACGGTAATTATTATATAATTATTGTGGTTATGGGCATTCAATTATTGTAATTAACTTGGTGATATAGTCAACAACTTGAATATTACACTATGCTGAAAGTAGCGTCTACGGCATACCCATTACTAGCATATATGATTTATTTGTTCTAATCATTATTTATCATCCTTCTTTTTTCAGAATTTTTTGGTATAACAATTTCAAGATCGGTATATTTCAATGTCATGAAAATTTAAATATTTGTTAATTATGGTAATATTGTAACAACTCAAGTCCATCACTAGTAGATATCGTCCGCTATAATCCATTACATATCGACATCGTGAGACTAACAACGATACATAACAAGTTAAAGCGAACAATATCTTAACCCTGAGGCTGACAGCGATAGGTAACGAGTTAAAATGAACAATATCTACTAGCATTGAGCTTTGACTTTTACAAATACTCTCTTTTAACTATTATTATTTCGGTATTAATACTTTATGAATTTAATTCAAAGTTCAAAACGAACGCTTTGAAATGTTGAAAATATCATATAAAAATATCAATTATTAGTTTAAAATGGAGTAATATACCTCAATTCTTATTATAATTTTTGAATTTCATCCGATTAAATTTTAAATTTAGATAATTGTTGCGTTCTAAGTCGAACTTAAAAGTTGTATAATTTTTAATACTAATAGATTTTGATGAGATGGGAACATCAAATCCTGTTGTTAGAATTTTTGGAATTGGGCGACAACAAAACCAGCGTATCTAAGATTTGACCAAAAGTGTGGGCATTGCTTTAATTTACAAACAAATAGTTTAATCCAAATTTGTGGACATCATCCCTTACAAGATTTGACCTACGGCCGTCTGAGTTATGGGCATGAGGACGTGGGTGGCATATGCACATCCCTCATTGAATGCCACATTGATTTAAGAGATTTGAATTAAATCAAATAACTAATTCAATACAAGAAATGTCAAATGTGGCAGCCAGATGCATAGTTTCAAAATATTTGAACGGGAGAGAATTAATGTGACACTTAAATAAATTATGGGTACATGAATAAATCGAGACCTTATTTAAATGAGAGTGATTTTGAATATAGAATAACTAGAGAAGACTTGAAAAAAAAATTGACAAGTCACTATCTATACTTCGTGGCTCAATCACACAAATTCTATAGTTAAACTTGTCTCGCTTGGAGCAATTCTAGGTTGAGTTTTCTCTTGAAAAATTTCATAGGATGCATGTGAGTGAGAACAAAACATACTAAAATGAAGCGTATTGATTCATAAGGAAAGTCTTCCTCTTAGAAGTAAGAAATAACGTGACCATATTGTAGGGAAATGTCGTGGTCATCTAAATTAGAAAAGCTTGTATTCACTAATTACTTCTCCGATACTCATTCCAACATCTTTCTTGTTCTTGTGTTCTTGAATCTGACATGAATTTGATTCTAAAAGGTGCCTAACAAATCATCTGGTGCCTTAGACCACTCAATCATCCTGACTGTGTCACACCCCCAAAGCACTACGAGGGAACCCACCAACCATGTAGGAGTGTACATTGAACTCGACTCGAACCGGCTCAACTTGAATTATATGGATTGGATTAGATTAGATTAGCATTTTGGATAGAGTTGGGTTAATGTTCTAAAATCAAATAGATTTGATTTGAATTTCGAATGGATTGATCAAAATTTTGAGTTGACCCGAACTGAACAAAATTTTATAAAATATATTAAGATTAATGATCTTAATCGACAAAGTACCTTAATAAGATTAATTAGTCCTGCTCTTGTAAAGTAAGAAAACCCACTAGAGGATCCCAACCTTTTGAGTGGTTTATATCCTTGTCTAAGGTTGTTGACTTATTTTTAAAATATTTAGTAATCAAATAAGTTCTCTTATGGGATAAGATCCTCAAACATGATGTAAACAAGCATCTTCTTATGAAATTACAATCGGATACAACCAAACCTTTTATTTCGACACAGTACACACACTCTCATGACATGTTATTAAACATGAAAACATTAAGTATTTAATGGAACTCATTATTCGAACAATACAGAAAACAATAACTTGGAATAGAGATCTTGTGGACTAAAGAATTTTAGAGCTCTCCATCTGTACTGACCAAATTTAAAGGTTGTCGATCGGGCCACACAAATTGTGGAGGACACGTGATTCCAGCAAATTCAGTACAATCAATTAGAGTGATACCATCTTTGTCGAAGCACAAGATGATTTCAAGCAATTGTTTTTTTTCTTTAGATTGTGCATTGATGTTGCAACGTAAACCTGGCTTCTTACCTGTGGCAGCTTGAATAGCACCTTCTATATCTTTGTATTCTCTAATATTTGTGTCAGACGGGCCTAGTCCCGCCGCATTTAAGATGGTCAGGAGATCGTAGCTATGATTTGTACGAATATTTAGAGTTATTTGAAAATATTGAAGTTGATTGAAAGGAGGATTTGAACATATTCCATGTCTATCCCATTCATGCTGCCAAAATTGTTGGTTCTTTCCTTGTATCACGTCTGGCCAATAGGTATTTAGTTGGGGTCTTAATGCTGCAATCTAAAACAAAATAAGAAGATATTTAATGTTTTTACCATCTAGAATTTTTTTTTTTTTTAATAAGTTCTAAAGTTTCAACTTTATTTCTATTCCAAAACTAAAGGGACATCATAAACCCAACCAAAATCAACATTTACATTTGACAGACACGGCCAAGAACATTTACATTTGACAGTACTTACGATTATTTGAGACAATAATCTTTATTGTGTTGACCACAAGGATTTATGATTGGCAATATATAGAATAGGTTTTAGGCATTGACTAAGCTTTTACTCGGTCCAAACCATCCTATAGAAATTCTTATCTATGAAATTTTATGTTCCATGCATATACTAATTTGAAACAAAAAAAATTAAACATAATAATAATATATATTTGGAGACTTATTAAATACTTTAAAATTTGTAGAGTATTGAGTACAAACAAACAAAAAAAAAATGAAATAATAAAAGAAAGAAAGAAAAAAAAGAAAATGGAAATGCAGAAGAAGATGGCTAAAAACCTGAGTTGGATTAAATGGTTGTGGCGCACAAACAAGTCTAGCATTTGAGTAATTGCTCGGCCACAAACCATGAATTGTGAACATGGTTGGAGGTTGAACATGACATCTTACTTTAACGCTGCTACATTTAGCTGGAGGCCATTGTTGAACCATTTGAAAATAATCAAATTGAGCATTTACACATAATATTAAGACGACGAAGACGAAGTTGAATATAGAAACTATGGAAGGTGATTTAGCCATAATAGATTTGGATTAGTTTTGTGGTTGCCAGCCATATGAAATAATTGTTGGGTTTATATATAGAATTTTCTTAACCATTGACTTTTAGTCTTGAAGGGGTTGGTTTGCATACCCTTTTCCTAGAAACATCTGTATCTATGCAAATTTGCATTTGTTTAATGTATATCAATCAATTGTGTTCCTATCATTATTATTATTTTCTAAAGTCACTAAATATTAAAATAAATTTATAACTTGATCGTTTAGACATGCATCTATCATCTAAATATTTTAAAAAGTAAATTTTTATATGTAATTGAATTATAATAACAATTTGATCATTATTTAAGACATTTATATTCATCTAAATATTCGTATAGAACGTCTAATCCAAATGTACTCTTTCATTCATAATCAAATTTAAATCTTCAAACCTCACTTAGATTAAAATTATAAAAATAAATGTAATGAGTAGGTAATAAAAATAAAAAATTAATTGATGTATTATTTTATAAAATAATAGAGTTAGCTCTTCCTTTTGTCTTTGAATTATTCAATATTTGACCAAATATGTCGAAAAATTAAACAAAATTGGAGTAAAAAGATAGATCAACCAAACACAAACTTGTACTTATTTAGAATAAATTTAAAACTTCAAACATGTATAATTCAATTACCTTTAAAAAAATATTTAGCAACTAACATACAGTCGGTTTGATTTGTTTGAATCAACTAAATTTATATTATTGAGCATTATTGTAGTAAGTAAATTTGTAAAGTGTGGTTGAGAGACCTATCTATGTTGCAGCATCATGTGATTAAGTCAGTTTTTTACATTAGAACTAATGACTGAAGTGCTGCAATAAGTATCATAAGTGAGGAAATATGGTGAATTTAATTAGTTAAATATAAGCTTTAAAAAGGAAACTTGGTTGCATAATTGATAATATAACGCTCAATCCTAAGGCTACGTGTAGCCAGTGCATTGAGCTCGCTGAAGTCTGCAGATTGGGGCTTGGAGGGCATACGAATTGCAGTTGCATGGTTCGACTCCGGATTTCAGCCGTCCGTCAAGTTTTCCTGCCCAACGCCGCCGATTCCAATTCTAATTCCAATTTCCTCTCCAGAAAACATCGATTCCTCTCCCTTCTCAACCTTCGCTCCTCAACGGATCACCTATTTCAAATCCACGCTCAAATCCTCGTCTGTGGCCTCCAAAATGACCCATTTCTCATCACTGAACTCCTCCACTTCGCTGCTCTATCGCCCTTCAGAAATCTCAGTTATGGCCGCTCTCTCCTCTTCCATTGCGACCTTCATTCCGCCCCTTTCCCATGGAATTTCATTATCAGGGGATATGCTTCGAGCGAATCTCCACAAGATGCCATTTCGGTATTTGGGGAAATGCGAAGACGAGGAATCAGACCCAATAACCTCACTTTCCCCTTCCTTCTCAAGGCCTGTGCGACTCTCGCGGCGCTACAAGAAGGTAAGCAGTTTCATGCTGTTGCCATAAAGTGTGGTTTGGATTTAGATGTTTATGTTCGGAACACTCTGATTAATTTCTATGGGTCCTGCAAAACAATGTCTAGTGCACGGAAGGTGTTCGACGAAATGTCTGAAAGAACCTTAGTTTCGTGGAATGCGATTATTACAGCGTGTGTTGAGAATTTATGCTTTGATGAAGCGATTGACTACTTTTTGAAAATGGGAAACCATGGTTTTGAGCCGGATGAGACCACAATGGTGGTTATATTATCTGCTTGTACAGAGCTTGGTAACTTGAGCTTAGGGAGATGGGTTCATTCTCAAGTGGTGGGAAGAGGGATGGTTTTGAATGTTCAATTGGGCACTGCCTTCGTCGACATGTATGCCAAATCTGGTGATGTGGGCTGTGCTAGGCTTGTATTCAATTCTTTGAAACAGAGAAGTGTATGGACATGGAGTGCAATGATTTTGGGGCTAGCCCAACATGGATTTGCCAACGAAGCCATTGAATTTTTCACAAATATGATGAGCTCCTCTGTAGTCCCTAACTATGTCACTTTCATCGGTGTCCTATGTGCCTGCAGCCATGCCGGATTGGTGGATGAAGGCTACCACTACTTCAACATTATGGAGAGAGTTTATGGGATTAAGCCAATGATGATACATTACAGGTCAATGGTGGATACCTTAGGACGTGCAGGTCGTGTCAAAGAGGCTTATGAGTTCATCATGAGCATGCATGTGCAGCCTGATCCGATCGTATGGAGGACATTGCTAAGTGCATGCAGTGCTCGTGATGTTGATGGTGGGGCTCAGGTTGCAGAGGAGGCAAGAAAGAGACTCCTTGAGCTGGAGACGAAGAGGGGCGGAAATGTGGTGATGGTTGCGAACATGTTTGCTGAAGCTGGGATGTGGAAGCAGGCAGCAGATTGCCGGAGGACGATGAAAGATAGAGGAATCAAAAAGATGGCTAGGGAGAGTTGCATCGAAGTGGGTGGCTCCTTGTGTAAATTCTTCTCGGGTTTTAACGCTCGAGCTGATTCTCATGGGATTTACGATTTGCTTGATGGATTGAACCTGCATATGCTAATCATAAACTTCTAATTAGTTTAAGTTACAAATATCTGATGATTGATCTGTTTATGTAATGGTTCAATTATACATCTGGTCATTGATGTTGGCTGACACAATGATTTACTGATTTTTTGTTTGTAATTTGTAATGATTTAGCCCTGATGATTTGTTATAACTTGTAATGAGAAATTCTTAGGAGAAGGAAGAAATTGACGAAGGACTAAGGTAAGTCTCAAGCTCAATGCTTTACTAGGGTTTCCGATTTCCTTTTCGGCTAAAATCGAAAGAGGTTGAATCGAGCTAGTTGAAGTCTTCTTGGACCTTGCACACCCCTTAGGCACGCTTTCTAGTTTTCAACTCTCTTTTCTTCTTCTCCAAGGACGAGGTACGACCTTGAATCTGTATTGCCTCGATTTTATTCCGGGTCTTTCTGTTACGTGTGAGTTTTCTTTAGATTTAAAATTACTCCTAACAATCGAAATTGACAAATATAAATTCAAGTTAAAATAGTATGTTATTTGCATGTTTATTTATGATGTAAATATTCTTTTTTTTTTTTACTTATGGGTAAAGCTTTTTACAACAATAAAGTTATAACAATAAATATGATAGTATGATCGATATGAAGGACAACGACCTCCACTAAATGAAGGAAGTTTCTTGTACCGACCGCATTAAGAGAAGAATTGATATCAACCATATATACTTCAAAAATAAACTTACTTTCAAGTAAAAAATATATATATATTTTCTACTTGGAAAGAAATTTAGACCATAACTTTTTTGAGAAAAAATCTTACATGCAAATGGTGTTGTTTCATTCCACATTCTTTGTATATCATTTGTCATGATTCCTACCCTTCCGTTCACATGGCACCATCACTTTTATTCTTTCCTTGATTTTGATTATGGTCAAATAACCCACAAAATGAGACCAGAGCCTTCACTTATAGCGTTTTCTATCGGTATGAAATCAAAAGTTGCAAGATTAATCTCAAACGAATCAGTTTAGATTGAGGTTAATTGGACTAGTTTAGGTCGATCGAGTTTAGTCAAACCATCTAAGTTTAAGGTGGCCTAGAGTCCAACTTGGACTTGGTCTTACCAAGCTTATGGCGAGCAACTCCTTAATCGAGAATTCTTAGATCAAATCTATATAAATAGACGATTAAAACTCTCAATTAAATATATTCAAATATCTCTCGAGCTCTGATTTGTTAGACACATTCTAGTTTAAAAATTATTCTTGATAACATGCAAATTGAGTGGATTAACTTGTGCCGTATGTGCTCATCAATTATCTGATTTATATAAATGGTGATAAAATTATCAATAGAATATTCATCCGTGTAGGTTAACAAAAAAAATAATTAACATTTCTCATGTCCTCAAATGGGACAAAAAATCAATATTCATATTGATATTTTTGGTTAAAGTTATGTGCCATATGTATTTTTTATGATATATTAGAAAGGTCTTATATAAAATAAAAAAAATGTTTTTATAACAACATGTAGAGATTACTTTAAAAAAAATAAAAGAACTAATATAATATGATCCTCATATCTAAGATATAATTAATTTTGGTGTCACACCCCCACAATTTAATATGTGTTTAATCATGAGCTGTAACTTTTTGGCATGATTAATCCTAATTGATCATGTACTTACCCTTGACAGTGACTTTGGCAAAATAGAAATAAGACATGGAAGGAGATAATGTATTCAACCCATGTAGGTATGTAAAGAAATATCAAGGTCATCAAAAATCAAATTTAATTTTTTTAATTTTGATATGAATCTTGGACATGAAACATTTCATAGGGTATCAAATCAAAGACTCTCCCAACAGAATGTAGTCAGGTGAACAAAATTGAAAGTTGGTGAACATTAACACCCAAGTAAATGAGGGTTATATGATTAAGGTACAACTACCGAAAAATGATTCTCAAATACACTACCTTTTAATATATACTATTACAAATGATAATGAAATTTGGAAACATATGTAGACTCATTTTTATTTTGCAAAAAAAAAAACTTAGAAATCACTGATTAACTTAAATAATGATAATCACGACAAATTTTCATTTAATGTGAGGTCAATGATCATGATTAACCTACATATTGATTGATTAATTGTAAATAGTATTTCAATTTTAATTATATTTACATAATTATTTTAATTCTCTTATTAAAAACCCAAATAAGGAGGCTAATGTTCTAATGGCATACTGGTAGTGTTTGACTCTGATACCATCACTCCTTAAGGGCCCAATGATACTATTTGTAATGGTTGAAGTCCACTACTAATTGATATTATGGTCTTTAGATTTTCTGATGTAACGAGAGGACACACGTGGCAGAAGAAAGTAATAGTTTAATAAGCTTTTAAAATACGTAGAAAGAGATACGGAAGTGTAACCACTAAGAGGCGGTACACCCATCCAGAGCTTCATTATAAAAAGGGTATCCTCCTGGGTTTTTATAACACATCAGGGTTCTTCCCCCTTTGGCATTACTAAATTAAATAGCCAAACCTTGAGATCTTCCCACTTTCAAATACAATAAAAAGATGAGTTGCGTTCAAAATCCTGAGCTTCCCAACCCAGAAACTGTTGTCCATGTTCAAGATTTGGTCTCAGTTGAAAACCCAGATTCCAAACACTCCATTTTTGCTTCTTTGTTTCAAAACCATTACCCTCCTGGCTTTTCCCGAAAGGTACCTAAACCCTTTTCTCACAGTAACATGTCTTTTTTTTATTCCTTTTTTTTTGGGTCTTTGATGACTGATCTCTTAGCTCTCTCCATGACCAAAACAGCTGGTGGCGGAGGTGATAGCCACGTACTTGCTAGTGTTTGTGACTTGCGGAGCAGCCGCATTGAGCGCCAGCGACGAACGGAGAGTCTCACAGCTTGGAGCCTCCGTGGCTGGCGGCCTCATCGTGACTGTAATGATCTACGCTGTCGGACACATTTCTGGCGCCCATATGAACCCGGCTGTCACCTTAGCCTTCGCTGCAACTCGACACTTCCCATGGAAACAGGTCTCACTCTCTACTCATCTATTATTTCTTTACTTAATTCAATATCCTAATCATTTCCTCTTTTTCTTAATTATTTAATACAAATTTAATATAACCACGTCTTTATTCCAACTTAACTAATTTAGAGAAGAAGAATAAGTAAAGAAATATATCTCTATTCATATGATATGCAAAGTCACGAGAACTTATATTTAAAGTAGACAATATTATATTATTGTGGAGAACCGTGATTTCTAACCGTCTGTTCATCCTAATTTGATCCTTTGTTTCAGATTTAATATTAATATTTAGGACGGTGCTAAGAATATAGGAACGAGGAGCCCTGTTCTTTATATTTATATATATATATATATGAGTTTTAAATTGGGTTCTTAAAGTGATTGTTTGTTTACCCTACCACAATGGTATGATATTGTCCACTTTGAGTATTATTATTATTGTAGATATTGTTAGACGAGAACACAACTCTCCACAATGGTATGATATTGTCCACTTTGAGTATTATTATTATTGTAGATATTGTTAGACGAGAACACAACTCTCCACAATGGTATGATATTGTCCACCACAATGGTATGATGTTGTCTATTTTGAGCATAAGCTCTCATGGGTTTACTTTGGACTTCCCAAAACGCCTTGTAGAAAGTATTCTTTGTTTATAAATTAGCTGATGTGAAACTTTTATCATAAAAGAGTAGGGAGAATTGGTTTCGACTTTATTTGACAATAATTAGGAGAAGAATTTTGTAGAAATCAAAATATTGGTTTAGAAGCGTAGAAGAATCGGTAGAAAGGAGAGGATGCAATAAAAGAGGGAAATGTAGGCCATGTTTAGTGGCCACATGATGTATGGACAAGCTACTCCAAATATTATTCTTAAGCCACGGCCACAAGGAGGAGAAGCTTGTGTCGTCGCTTTGTGGCCACAACCTTGGCTTCATTTTTCCGACCAAAGAATGGGATGGGACATTTAGGCAGCATAATTCCAACACTCACTCAAATTCGAGATAGAGATAGAGATAGAAATAGAGATAGAGATGTCCACCAAAAGTGGTTGCCCAATTGTGAGTGGAAGGTATAGCAAAGGACAACACATATCCTCTTCATGTGTGTTTTGATGGATATCAAATCACTTTTTCAAATTCCAATCAAACAATCAAACAAATTATTTTAAATTCTTTATGAGTGATGTTGGTTTGGTTTGGTTGGTAGGTTCCATTGTATGGAGCAGCACAATTGAGTGGTGCAACTTGTGCGGCCTTTACACTTCGCATATTATTGCATCCCATAAAACAATTGGGCACAACAACGCCATCGGGGACAGACTTTCAAGCTTTGGTCATGGAGATTGTGGTTACTTTCTCAATGATGTTCGTCACATCTGCTGTTGCAACTGACACTAAAGCAGTAAGAATCAATGACCAATGCTTCCAATTTCACGTTTTCATTTGATTCGATTCAATTCGATTCATTGGTTGTTTGTTTGGCAGATAGGAGAGCTAGCCGGTATGGCAGTTGGGTCAGCTGTGTGTATCACTTCCATCTTAGCTGGGTAAGGAAACATAACATTTTTTTTGTTCGCTTCAAATAATCACTAACCAACTCTTTTTCTTTTTAAAAAATGATAAAAAAAAAACCGTTTTGCGTATGGACATATTACATTAAACAAATGAATCTAATGAGGGTTTGTGTTAGCGACTATTCAGACCTGTATCAGGAGGGTCAATGAATCCTGTGAGGACATTAGGACCTGCATTGGCAAGTGAATATTATAAAGGACTTTGGGTGTACTTTGTTGGGCCGGTTACTGGAACTCTATTGGGGGCATGGTCATATAAGTTTATACGTGCCAGTGACAAACCTGTGCACTTAATTTCTCCTCACTCATTTTCGTTCAAACTTCGAAGAATGTCAAGATCAGATGTTAGTGAGGGTGGAAAGTGAGCGTTGGCTCCGTCTTCTTCCATGTCTAAGATATTTGGAATGTTGGAAAAGATGTGAAATAGTTTGAGTGTTTAATGAGCATGATCTCGTGTCATGGTGTACTATGCTATAAGCTTCTTTATTATAGCTTAGCGATGTATGAGAAGTAGTGATTGTAACCTCATCTTCTATGTATGAAAATTTTCTACCTTTGGTCACTTTTGTTCTTTTTAGTTCAATCGTATAAATTCAAAGAATAAGTAAAACTTTAACCAATCAAACAACAATAATGTCAATTATGTCACCGACGACAAGAAAGACGCACATGATTAGTATAAGTTGTGACTGTTAATTACTTTTAAGCTTTTCATAGTTATCTTGTTCTTAAGATCTCTCTCATCCGAATGTAGTCTTGTTTCATTTATGTACCACTTCTTTACTCGAGTGTCATTAACTACAATAAACAATAATTTTCGAACAAGTTAGTTGTTAAAAAATTGAAGTGTTGGTGATGGGTTGTCTTCACCCTAAACCATTTATGGATAAAGGTAAAGAAATTGGTTGAATATATTTTAGTCTTCCTTGATGAATGAAGCTGTCCCCCACTTATTTCATTCTTCCATTCAATACATCAACTGTCCCTCTTATTTTGAGAACGACACTACAAATCAAAATGTGATTCTTATGCAACCATGCCATTTCATTCGGATTCTGAACTGAAGTTTCAAATGAATTCGAGTTACCTTTCGAACAAGTTTTTTTTAAGAATAAATAGTAAGCTAGTAATTATACTCCTATTTAGCTTTCTATTCTGAGCCGGATACATTTAATAGGGAGAGGTTTTCACACTTTTATAAAAAAAATGTTTCGTTCTTTCTTCCAATCGATGTGAGATCTCACAATCTAACTCTTTTTAGGGCCCAGTGTCCTTACTAGCACACCGCCTCGTGTCCACCTCCTTCAAGATTCAACCTCTTCGCTGGCACATCAATCGGTGTCTCGCTCTAATACCATTTGTAATGAATTAAACACACCACTTGCAAATATTGTTTTCTCTGTACTTTTCTTTTTGGGCTTTCTTACAAAGTTTTTAAACGCGTCTTAGAGAAGTTTCACAATGATAAAAAAAATGTTTTGTTCTCCTCTACAACAAGTATGACTCATGTACAGCCCAGCTCTCATAGAATGGAATGGGGAAGTGAGGTTGGTTGGAGTGTCTTGGTCTCACAACAAAACACACCCACTAAGTTAGGCAAGAATGATGAGAATCTGATAAAGTAAGTGGATACTACCCATGGGTTAGTAATAGTATATGGTGGGCAATAACTCATGGGCTGACACCGACCAAAAATACTGAAGAATCTGTATAGTGACACCATTTTCAGAAAAGGTTGGAGAAGAAGATAAGAAATTGAGCCCACATTTTGTGCATTCAATGTGTTTTGGGTGTCTCACTCTCACTCTCCAACACTTTATAACACTTTATGTGGGTAAGATTACACAACGATTTGCTTTCCAAATTTTTTTAGTATTTTAATATTTTTACATATAGGATTGTAATCTTCTAGATTCCAAGATTTTGCAATTTTATCCTGCAATATAATATAATATAATATAATATTATATTATATTATATTATAAAACGTACAGAAGTTTTGACTGTCTTCTTGTTCCGAGATTTGAAAAATTGGGAGTGAAGAAAGATAATTTAAAGAAATCGTTAACTGATGAGAAATAGAATTGAGATCGAAAGTGTAACAAACTTAAGCGGGATCAAAAGTACTCGTGAGATATAGAGTTCAGTTTTTATTAATATTCACAACAAGCTACTCACTCATATCTAAAAGAAAAATATAAACTAACTAAATATTAAGAATAAAATTAAATATACTACTAATAAAATAGTATTAACGGAACCTATATTCTATAATTAAATATATATTTCATAACTAATTATTATAATATATTCTAATAGAAATTTATGAATTAAAATAAAAAAACCGTTTGAAATAAAATTTGTAATTTTGAAAGAAATTTGAAGAGCTAAATTTACAATTTAATAAAATATTATTAAATTTACAAAAATAAATATTTAAAAACATAAAAATAGCCATTAAATTTGGAAGATATTTTTGTCTCATAGGTGCTTTTATTTCCCCACATATTCTAGAGATGCCACGTAGTGGACGTGCATCACACTACAGAACTTTTCATACTTTTCCATTATGATTTCTTTTTTCTTTTCTTGACATGTCACGCTCAATTGTTTCTACGTGTTCTTTAAATTTGAAAGGTTGAAATGATAAAAGAGACTAAATTATTACAACGAGACTGAATTGTTAATACTAGAAGAGACTAAACTATTACAAACAAGTAGGCCATGAATTGGTGGGATTCTTCGTATAGTGGATTGGTGAGATTCTTTCTAGAGCATGATTGTACTTTACAGTAATACATACTTTTTCGCCACAACCCTTATTCAATAATTAAGACATATCTACCTTTCTAATGTTGCATTCTAAAGAAATGAATAAAATAGTTGGCAAACAGTGAACTATCCAAAAAGAAGTATGACATTATTCTTTCTTCAAATAAATGAAAGTGGAAGGCTTGGAATTGTAAAAAGCAAATAATATCGTGTATAATATATAGTTGAAGTTAAAAGATAGTTGAGTATATAGTTCGTAAGTATATACCTACGACTATATCGATCAATATGAATCGGAATATAATCCAATTCGTTTAGACATTCATCTTCAATTGAATGAAATAAACTTACTTTAAATCACGGACTAAAATTGGTTTAACATATAAAAATTTTAAGATTCAAACTAATACAATTATTATTTTAGTTTTAAAGGATATAAGAACAAAAATAATTTTATTTATTGGTAGTTGAGAAAAGATGGGTAAAGTTGAGGTACTCAAAATGGGGTATCAGCTGGGCCAAGCTTCGAGATGCCTTTCTTTGGACCTTCTTTTTTGGGCCAGATGGCTTTCGGACTTTGATACCAACGATCCACCCATGGGTCTGCCATACAAATACCTAAATTTAAGTACTCCAAATAAAATTATTTTATTTTCATTAAACTTAGTTTTATTCAAAACAATTTTATTTTGGTCGTTACCATGCATGTGAGTGAGGAGAAAAGATACTAAAAAGTAAAGCTTAAAAAGGGCAATATTTGGTAGCGGTGAACATGGGCTACTACATTGCATGTCCAATTTCATCTCAACAGTTCACTCAATACACTCTTATTTAGTCCTCGTCAAACCTTTGTTCGAGTCTTACATGCTAACCCAAGCATAAGCTCCTGGGAAGAAAAATAAAAAGAAAAGAAATAGAGTTTTTGTAATTGATTGATTTGAAGTTGAAACATAATTGGAAGAGATTGTTTGGAGTGATCTTTATTGTTAGTCTCTTATAATAATTATGCATCTTTATAATGCACTTTTCATGTGCATATGGATACACTTTTTTATTACACTATTAAATCTAATTTTTTTTAAATATATATATTTATTATTTTCTTTCCCCTTTTCATAATTATCCATTTATGAAAATGATAATTTAATTTTTGTCCATATATCAATATTTCTCTACACGTTAGTATATAACTTTTAATTTGAGCCAATGATAATAAATTTTATCTAAAGGTTTTTTTTTTTTTTTTTTAATGAATTTTTAATCATTTTAAAAAACTATTCGTAATATTAATATTTTCAGTAATGTTTTCAGGGACAATTTCGTAAATTTGCAATCCCAATTTTTTTGAATCTAGAATTGTCCAAATTACGGACAAATAGATGTATGTTCCGTGTAAACCTCAAAAAATCCACTCTATTAGGAGAGACCATCCTTATCCTTATTTCCATGGTTTTAATCAGCTTAAATCATCATCTAAATGGGTCATTTTATTATTATTATTATTATTAATTCATTCATTAAAATACACTCACATTTCTATTTCATTTCAAACATATATTTATTAACATGTCACATAGGGTAGAGCTTAAGATAATGAAGCTGAAGAAAAAATAATTTGTTTTCAGAAATTCAAACAATAAAGTTAAAAAATTTGAAAAGTTGAAGTAACCAAAATTAAGAATAAAAAATAATTAGAATAAAAACAAAATCAAAGAAGCCCCACGGTTTGAAAGTTCTAAGGAGCTTTCCAGTCTCTAGTTAGCTGGAAGGACGATTACTCTATTATATTTTCTTAAAAAACATAGCATCTAGTCAACTCGACCTAACCTAAGCAAAATTGACTTAATTATTTATTTATTTATTTTTCCTAACCTCAACAACAATTATAATAACTCGTAAAATAAATGCATTAATTTATTATTTTAAAAGGTCGATGGTTTAATTCCCGATCCATCCAAGTTTAGAGCATTTAAAATAATAATAGTAATAATAGAGGGAAATTTTAATGTTAACCTAAATTGGTTAGGTTAAATAAATATAGGCATTAATTTGAGAGGAAAACGTGTAGAATTTTAAAAATTATTGTTAGGTCCATCCTGCCCTCCCTTCGTCCAAAAAGGTCGGCACGGAACGTAAGAGAAAAGACGCCTTTAATTGAGTGGTGCCAAGTGGGCGCAAGTGGCCAAGTTGCTACTACCTCCGAATCATAATCTTTTATTTTTCTTTTCTTTCCTTCCATAAACAACAATAAAATTCTTCAAAAAAAAAAATAATAAAATTAGTACTTTTTTTAATTTGTTCCCTCCATGGTAATTAGGATCGGGTTTATAAGATATTTTACGAACCTGTGTCAACCCAACTGTGGGTTAAGAATATCCCATTGTTTACTTTCTTTTTTTTTTTAATTATTTAAATAATAGATGTCACATTAATAACTAAAATCTAATAATATTTATTGTAAAACTCGAACTCATTAATATATATACTTTCTATGTATGTGTGTGTATATATATATATCTACTGAAAGTGTGTGGGTTTACAATGTAGCAGTAGAGTACACGAAGGAAGCTGAGTTGTTGGTTTGTTTCCATGTGCAAATGGTTTACGACACCAAACAACATCATGATAGAGATTTCATCGTTTTTGGATCTTTTCTCTACTTCAACACTTTTTTAATTCTTTTCTCTTCCACATGTTCAATTGGATCACTTAGACTATCGTACATTCTCAAATATATTTGATTCAATGTCTATGTACATCAAACATGGTAGCATGGAACATTTGTCTAGTATTCGATTCACATCAAAGTTAGCGAACTTACAGGTTTCAGTTATACGCATTTAATTGCAGAGTCACTTGTCAAATTTACAATGGAACCCAAACTTTCAAGGCATTGACTCGGGGCCCATATAGTCTCTATGGATCTTATCTTTGACGTCACTTACGATATTTTCGGTTCTACTCTTGTATGTACCCTTATCTCGACAATCTTATTCATCGTTCTCCTCCATTGCATTTGCTCAAACAAGCAACACTGGAATGTCGCTACTAATCTTGATTCTAACATCAGAGTCACCACTTACTCTCGTCTTAGTATAATTATGATATTTTTCTCAACTTAAACAAGTTATTGCATTCAATGACTCGAGAGGCACAAAAAAATATCCGAGCAGTGATGAGATCTATCACATGTCAAGTATTTAATATGACAGCAAAAAATTATAAAATTTATTATATTTATAAATTATTTATTTGTGAACAAACTTACAAATATCTCAACAAAATTTCACACCATTGTAATAACCCAATTATTTTCTTCAAATTTAAGAACTAAAGCTATTTTAAAAAATTAATCAATTATGGTTTAATTTTTAATAAATAAAATATATAATATGTTAAATATCAAAATTTGATGAAACAAAATGCACACAGAATCCAAATATTTGAATTATTACTCTATTCCTTTACTCAACAATTAAGAAAAAAAAATCTTGCATATTCATATATATATATATATATATCTAGATATGTCTATTATGTTGGATGTGCAGATGGGACTAGTTATTAACGTTTTTAAATGGGAAGTTAGGGGTCATGACGTATGACTGTGCCACTTCATCAAAAAACGAAACAAAGGAGAAGCCCGATTTATGCCACGTAAGAAATAAGGCGATGAGGTGTACGGTGGATACTGTTGATCTTTATTAATTCATTTATTTCTTAGATAAAGAATTGAAGACCGGTCCGAATCTAACACGTGGCATTTCAAGTAACTATTGTTTGTTAATTTAATTTAGATAAATAAGTTTTTACCCCTCACTTTATTGTAAAAGGGCCCAGTGGGCGTTCTTATCTATTATGTTTTAACCCCAAAAAATAAATTAATTTTTGAAAAGGAAACCAAAGAAATAACATTTAATAAATACATTTTGTGAATTGGTCCGCATATACACGACACTATACCAATTAATATTGTGCCTATAAGATATTTCACTTCCTTCATCAAAATTTCAAACTATCTGAACCCTTATTTCCATAACCAAGAAAAACAAAAATGGCGACTGGTAATTGGAGCGCCGCCCATGAAGAAGCCTTCATCTCCGTCGGAACTGATTACTCCGATCCCCACCAATCCTTCTTCCGCGACCGATTTCAACAACTCTGCCCTCCCGAGTTCTCAAGAAAGGTACGGATTTTTCTTTTATGTTCTATTTTTCTTCGATTTCAAGCGATGGGTTTCTGATCAGTGAATTTTGTCGACGGTCAGCTTGTGGCGGAGGTGATTTCCACGTATTTGCTTGTGTTTGTCACTTGTGGAGCGGCGGCATTGAGTGTGAGTGATGAGCGACAAGTGTCGAAGCTTGGAGCGTCGATGACCGGTGGGCTCATTGTGACGGTGATGATTTACGCCGTCGGACATATCTCCGGCGCCCATATGAACCCTGCTGTCACTTTTGCTTTTGCCGCGGTGAAGCGATTTCCGTGGAAACAGGTCCCTTCTTCTTCCTCCTCCTCCTCCTCCTAAACCCCTTTCCCCAATTTTGTGTGAAATTACCATCTTGTCCTTTTATTTTCTTTTTTATTTTAAATAAGGTTTAAAATGAAGATATTGAACTTTCAACCAACCGTGTCCAATGAACGATGTCGACGGATGTTACCAAAAATAAATAAATATATTTTTTTTAAAATAATATAGATAAATAGGCATTTTACACTTTTATTTAATAAGTTATATTATATTTACGTTACTGCCATTATTGTTTCTTTTTATGGTTAAAATTGGTAAGAGTGGCAGAAACGGATTTTCCTCATTTTTAGACTTTTCTTGTCACAGTAATTTTGAAAATAGTAATTTTAGAGAAAATAATTTGTTTACTACTGATTTATTAAAATTTATTTTTATAAAATCATTTATATGTTTGATTCCCTATTTTTAAGAAGAAAAAATCATATAATAAAATTAATGTTGAGCATGACAAAATAATTTTTGTCATATCAAAATTGGTGTCGAATATGAAATAAAAGGGAATTAATTTTAAAATAATAATAAAATATTTAGTTCTGACTTGCACAATTATAAATAAAAAATAATTTAGCTTTTTTATTATTGTAAATTCTCTCAATAAATTAAAGTTATATAATAATATATTAAATATCAAATTTGAATTATTAGTCTACTCTGTTTACTTAACCATTAAGAAAAAAAAAAGAAATGAATTGATAAGTCATATATTTTATTGGACGGGCGTGGATTGATTATTATATTTAAGTGGAAATTTAGTGGTAATGATGACTTGTGCCACTTCATCAAAAAGAAAATAGGAAAAAGGAAAAAAGTTCGCCACGTAGGAAATGACGTGATGAGGTGTAGGGGAGATATTTTAAAGGCGGGTCCCACCACCTTGGCAGATATTTATGAAGTTAAAAGAACTATTGGTAGATGCTTACTGTGTGAAGCAGCAGCCTTGGTTCATTTATTTCAAATAATTGAGAATCCAATTTATACATAATAACCATTAAAATAATTTAACCCAATTTTGTAAATATTAATTATGTAAATTATTGCAGGTTCCATTGTATGCAGCAGCTCAATTAAGCGGAGCTACATCGGCAGCCTTTACACTACGCATACTATTGGACCCAATTAAAGAACTCGGGACTACTTCGCCTTCTGGACCCGAGTTTAAGGCACTTATTGTGGAGATTGTTGTCTCCTTCTGTATGATGTTCGTCACTTCCGCCGTCGCAACCGATACGAAAGCTGTAAGAACAAGATCGTACGTTCGATTCCATTTATGTTTCTCATTCTTAATAGAATCTCATTCGGTTTTTTGCTCTGATTTTGGCAGATAGGAGAGCTTGCAGGTATAGCAGTAGGTTCGTCTGTATGCATCACGTCCATCTTTGCCGGGTAAGGAAACAAAAACCTTTTTGGTTTTGGCTTTTTTCACCTATAAAACCTTTGTTGTTACTTGGGCAAGATCTTAACCAAGATCTCAAATTAAAAGCTTTTCCAACATGAAATAAGTTTGTGTTAACCATGTCTAGGCCTATATCCGGTGGGTCCATGAACCCCGCGAGATCAATAGGACCCGCCATTGCAAGTTCACATTACGAAGGGATCTGGGTGTACCTAGTCGGGCCAGTTGCAGGGACATTATTGGGAGCATGGTCATATAATTTCATACGAACAAGTGAAAAACATGGGCATCAACTTTCTCTACAATGACATTCACGCACGGAATGATATCAAATCGTTCAAAAGTGATGATCTTTCCATCGATTCACTTCAATGAGTTTGTTTTATTAAATGTGTATCTTGTATAAAAGATGTGCGATCAAATTAAAGCCTTTTTTTTTTTATCAGTTTGTTATGCCATTTCTTTAGTGTTGTGTTGTACCCGTGTGAGCTTTGATCTGAATTTTGTATAATAATATAATTGATTTCTCCTTTAATTCTCTACTCTTTTTTTTTTTTGGTTTTCTTTTTATTTCATGGACTCTGAGATTTTATTAATACTAATAGAATAATAATAATAATAATAATAATAAATTTAGTTTATTTTATATTAGTTGACTCCCAAAATGGTTAGAAAATTTAGATTGATTGTGAGGAATATAATAAGCAGACGACCTATAGAATTTATTATAATAACTTGAATTGGAAAAAACTTTAAAATATGGATATTATTAAATGCTTCAAAACCAAAGTCTTTTAAATATCATAAACTAAATATGTTGTGTGTGTTTCATTTTCTCATATTTTACTGAATATAGAATTATTAATAATACAAAAATTATTCGTTATTTTTAAATTTATAGAAGATAATATATCAAAATAATTGTTAGTTAGAAATTAAAATTTTAATCATTTAGTCTATTTATATTAGTTGACTCCCGAAATTCTTCATTGTAAGTGTTCTTTTTAATAAATTAGTTAATAAAATATTAACATTGCATACTTGAAGGTATATATAATATATTAAATATGAAAGAAACTTTAAACATTGATTAATGACGGATATATATATTTTAAATCATTCGACTTTATTTTATTGGATGGGCGGGTAAGTAGTATTTAATATGAAAACTTAGTGCTAATGATGTAGGGTTTGAAATTAATATAAATATATATATATATATAATTAAGTTTGATTTGTGAGAATATATTTGTGGTATGACATTTCCTTTGGAACAAAGATTAATGGGTGTTATACAAAATTTTAAATTAAATTAAAAAAATAAAATAAAGTAGTGTTCAAAAAGCCAAGATGGGCCGAAAATGAAGGCTCAAAGAACAAAAGGTATGATCCAGAAATTAGATGGGCCGTGCAAAACCTTTATTGGGCTTTAGGGATCGGCCTTTTAAAGTCTCGTGTATATTCAATCCAAAGTTTTTATTTTTTGATTTTTTGATTTTTTTTTTTTTTTTTTAATTCTATAATGTGCTGCCTTGTGTTAACGTGGCAAGTTGAGCTCTACTCGTAATAATCGGGACAACTTTACAGCCTACTTTAATTATAAGAATTTAGGTTTAAATACACTTTTAATCCGGGTTTGTTCTTGACTTGAACTGTTACTCTATCTAGAGTTAAAAATGTATTTTTTTACCTCACACCTCTAGACGTAGAGATCCGACCTATGACATTTTGCTAGTTGAGCATCGATTACACTTAAGTTTGGCTAAAATTGAATACAATTATTTACGTATGTAGATGATTATGTTGATTAGAGACCAATTGTTAGGAATCATGACTCTCCACGATAGTATGATATTGTCTAGCATGACTTTACTTTTCGTTTTCTCAAAATGTCTCATGTCACTGGAGATGTATTCCTTACTTATAAACTCATGATCATCCTCTTAATTAGTCAATGTGAGCGTCAATAATCCTCAACAATCTTCCTCTCGAATAAAGCCTCCCCTGAGGTTTGCTTCTCTAGAGCTCTCGAACAGCCTCCTCTTATCGAGGCTCAACTTCTTTTCTGAAGCCCTCGAACAAAATACACCATTTGTTCGACACTCAAGTCACCTTTGATTACACGTTCGAGACTCACAAGTTTTTTGTTTGACACTTAACGATTGTATGGTCATAACTAAGTTAAGGACATAGCTCACTCCACAATAGAATACTATTGTCTACTTTGAGCATTAGCTCACGTGGCCTTACTTTTAGTTTTTCCAAAATGACTCATGCAAATGGAGATGTATTTATTATAAACTTATGATCATCCTAAAAGATCTTATAAGCTACAAAGAAGCAAGATTTGCTATACAGATTAAATTGAACTTCCGTGAGTCTCATTTTTGTTAAGGAGGTTTGAATGTCGTATGCTAGTTTAGTTCGTAGCATTCAAAAGCTTGGAGTTGCTATCATTTTCAAGACAGGCTTAAAAATGCATAAAAACAAGATTTGAGCAACAGTTCTCAATTTTAAAGATCAGATGATGAAGTTGTATATGCCTGCCAGTGGCAGTCAATCTGTCCATGTGAGGCGGAGGACAGAGTTTTGACTAATAATGAGAGTGTCACATGGAAACAGTGAAAGTAAAGATTAAAGAAACAGGATTCTCTGTTTAATCATTATATCACTTCTCAAAGCCAATAAAACATCGCATAATTCACACCGTCTATGTAAATAGAAACAAGATGTTTCATTCATTGCTCATATATTATATTATAAATAATCCAAACCCACTAATCACTTTGGAAGGTAGTTTAAAACAAAACGTCCCCACTAATCTGTCACAAATTTCTTCATTCTTCTCTCTGTTTCTTCCCATCTCCAACAGAGGACAATGACAGAAACATAACAGAGCCCCATTTTGTTGAAGGGGACACAAATGAGATGGAGTTAGCGGGAAAATGCAAAGGGAAAAGTAAGTAAAGTAACAGAGGAAATTGAAATGGAAATGGATATGGATATGGAAATTAATGAATTGGTTTTTTAAGGGCATTTGGGTCCTCCTTCCTTGGTCTTCCAGTTGTTGTAGCAAGGGCACACGGCTTTGTTTCCGTAGTAGCCAGGGGGCACACACAAGCACTTCCTGCAGCACTTTTGGCAGAAGAACATGCATGGTTTGTGGTATTGTGTCCTCCCGCACCGAGTGGCGCACCGATTTGGGCATTCTGTACATTATTTATAATCACCCATTTCAGACACAAATCCAACCCAAAGGAGCCGCAAAAATGACTCATAAACTGTTTGGATTTCGAATTAGGAGGATACTTACGGAAGATTTTGACGCTCCCTGGTCCGTATGGGTTCTGAAAAAAGCCAACGACAAAATGTGAGTACAATAACACAACGTATTTCCCAAAATGCCGTAAAAACAAATTGTCGATCTTAGATTTCTAAAGCCTGATGTAAGTTAGCAGAGAAGTAGGAGTGTTCGACAAAATGTCGCAATGCCAAACAAGTGATTTACGTGTTTAAAAGCCTGATCTACATCAAATTAGTGAATTAAGAACAGACCAAATCGAAACGTGAGCACAACCATACAAGGTGTTCGACAAAATGCCACAATGGAAAACCCCCGATTTCCAGTCAAAACCAAACATAGAACTAGAAAAAGAGTTTTACCCTGCTTCGACCACCACGTCCATTGCCAGCCATGACCTACAGAAACAGATCGAAGCACAAAACAAAAACAGAGTGTGTTAAGTTCTGTCAAGACGAAAGGAAAGGGACTGAGCATAAGAGTAGTAAGACAACGGAGAAGAAGGTCTCACAGTGGTTTGAAGCATGGAAAACGCAATGAGAGCCAAGAGCAGGACAGCGGCGAACTTAGCCATCGCCATTGGAAGTTAAAAGAGAAGAAGCTTGAAATGGAAGAGACAGGGAAAGCAGAAAAGGGAAAGCGGGGTGCTGAGTTTGGGGCCTCATTCTCAGTGGGTATAAATAGAAGGGGCGGAAGGAAGAAGAAGGTGGGAAATAATCGAGTGTTGTCGCTCATATGCTTGCGGGTTTCCATTGCTTCGATTTGGACCGTCTCATGGCACATGCGCAGGCCCCGTCAATCGCGCTGTTTTGGCAATATCATACAAACGGCTGAGGTCCTTTAAAAAAAAAAAACAAATAAATAACAATATTTTCCATAAATTATAAAATAATCTCATATAACCGTAGTACTTTATATAATTTAATCCCTTAATTTTTACGATCATAATTTAAGTTTGATTCAATTGAATTTAATTCTCGACAACTTCCCTAAAAAAATGAAAACACAAACTCCAGCAAACAACTCCTACCCACGACAATAAAATAAAAAAGCACGCTAGGTAGACCACGGGCACCCACTAGAAATTACTAGATGGAGGCCCTAGAGGACCCACTCCCATCCAAGCTTCATAGAGACAAGCAGTCGAGACACCTAAGTTCAAACCACCTGAGTATTCAAGAGAGAGGGGAGGAAGGTTATCAACCATTGGGTTGGAACGATAGCCAACCAATTAGGCAGTCACTTCGCCTCATCCATTTGTCCAGCATACAATTATTTGGATGGATAACATTGCGTTTAAACACAAAAATTAAGTGTAACATGTTAGATGACTTATAGACAACGCGTTATTTAATACATCATGCCACTCATAGCATAGCAGTAGCACACTTTATTTAAATTTCTTCGAGTTGTTTAAATAAAAAAAGTGTGCATTACTTTACATAATTAATTTTATTATAGTTGATGAATAAATAAAATGTAATTTAATTTAAACAAAAGTTTGGAAAGGAGGGAGGGAGTTTTTTGGAAAAATTGCGAAAGAAGAGGGAGGGACGGTGCATTGAAGAAGGGGAAGGCGAGGTTAGTTAGGTAGTTGGAATTGTGGGTCCCACTAAGATTGTACATGACTGTCAAAAACTTTCCGCAATTTTCGCTTCAAATCCTTTTCCTTTTTTTTTTTTTTTTTTTTTTTTTTTTTTTTTTTTTTTTTTTTTTTTTTTTTTTTTTT